TCGTGCTCAGGAGACACTGTCCACAAGCAAGTCACCAGGAATCTGTTCCAAATCACGAAGCCGCTGCCCCACCTGGCCTAGGCCTGGACAGGAGGAGAGGTCCCAGGAAAACGATGGGGACCCTCAGCCCTGCAGGGTCCCGAGGGCCTCAGTCCTTAGGGGCTGACTCCTAGGGGAGTCAGTGAGCGGGATACAGAGAGGATGGGGGGGGGGAGGGCTCTGCCTTCAATCAGAGTCCTCCACGCCTGGACCCCATCGTGCAGGGACGGGCCTGCAAACCGCGCGGGGCCTCGCATGCCCCTTGTCCTGTCCACCCCGGTGTCTGGCCCTGCATCTGGCCCTGCAGCGCCGTTCCCCACCTCCTCCTCTGTACCACTGCCCACCCACACACACACACACACACACACACACACACACACAGCCCAGGGGCCACCAGTGCCCTGCGAGGACTGGCTGCTCTGGAAACGCGGGCCTGGCTGCAGGGCTGAGCCCGGGCTTTGTGGAGGAGGCAAGGAAGGGGAGGCCAGGGCTGGGCCTCGGATGCTCCAGGAACGGTGAGGTTACACCTGCAGCCTCAGCCCAGGAGCCCAGCATGGACTGTTCCCGAAGGCTCCTCTAACTCTGATCCCGGAGCCCAGCGTGGACTGTTCCCAAAGGCTCCTCTAACTCTGATCCCGGAGCCCAGCGTGGACTGTTCCAGAAGGCTCCTCTAACTCTGAAAACGAAGGTTGCAGAGGCTTTATGGGCATTTGTGTGCTGTGACATTTGTGTTTGGTGTCACGTGGCCATCCACACCCGTCCACGCCCCTTGCTTTCTAACGTTCATACATTCCCAGGTCTAGCCACACATGGAGGAACTCCGTGGAGGGCACGTGGAGCCGCTCTCCCGGTGAGGCCTCTGGGAAGGACTCTTGCTGCAGCCACACGTGGGCCCCGCAGGCGCCGGTCCCAGCCCTCGGCGCCCCCGCCGCCCCGGGAGCGCCGCTCACCCACACAGTTGCCCTCGGGGTCCAGCAGGAAACCATCCATGCAGCGCTGGCGGGCCTGGCAGTAGAAGGAGCCCTCGGTGTTCTGGCACGAGAAGCCGGCCTGGCAGTTGTGCGTGCCCACTGCACACTCGTCCACGTCTGCACACACAAGGGGGGGGGGTCGGCGGCGAGTGGACATGCAGCAGCCCTGCCCGCTCCCAGCATGCAGCCCGCGCGGTCCCCGTGTCGCAGAGGACTCCGCGTGTCGTGTGGGAGGGGGTGGGGTCCCCGACATCCACAGGGAGACAGGCAGTGCCCAGCCGGCCCGCAGAATGGCAAGGTGCGAGGGAAATGGGGGCACAAGCAGGCCTGGGCCACGGCGGAGCCGGGCCAGGGACGCACGCCACTCGCCGTCCCACCCTGGAGGGAGCAGACGGATGTGGGGCCAGCGCCCACTGCTGGGTCGCGGGCTCAGCTCATCAGGCAGCGCCCACAGGCCCCGGCATACACCCCCACCACCACATCCCTCCACGGCCTTCCAGAAGCTTCTCATCATACGGCCGCAGTGCAGCTGCAGCCTCCACAGACCCCACACCCCTGCAGCCACTGCCACCCTGCTGTGAATGCCCTGTGCCCCTGCACAGGGCAGAGACGGGACCCCCGCCCGCACCCCTGCACAGCTCAGAGACAGGACCCCTGCCCGCACCCCTGCACAGGGCAGAGACGGGACCCCCGCCCACACCCCTGCACAGCTCAGACACCGGACCCCTGCCCGCACCCCTGCACAGGGCAGAAATGGGACCCCCGCCTACACCCCTGCACAGCTCAGAGACGGGACCCTGCCCGCACCCCTGCACAGGGCAGAGACGGGACCCCACCCGCACCCCTGCACAGCTCAGACACAGGACCCCTGCCCACACCCCTGCACAGCTCAGACACCGGACCCCGGCCCGCACCCCTGCACAGGGCAGAGACGGGACCCCACCCGCACCCCTGCACAGGGCAGAGACGGGACCCCGCCCGCACCCCTGGCACCCAGCACCCTGCCAGGCACGTAAAAGCAGCTCAGAAAGTGCTTGGTGAAATAGCTGACAGCTTCACCTCTCCTTAGAAGGCTGGAACTTTCCAGTGAAAGAGACAGAAGCGCTCTTCCCTGGGACCCCGCCTCATGTGCCAACAGGGAGACTGAGGCATGGGGAAGGACTGAGTGGCACCCAGCTGTCAGCAGGGGGTCACACCCTGGTCCTCCCACTCCTGCCTGGGACTCCCCCGCTCCTACCCAACACCCCCCACTCCTACCCAACCCCCCCACTCCTACCCAACACCCTGCTCCTACCCAACCCCCACTCCTACCCAACCCCCACTCCTACCCAACCCACCACCCAGGGGGAGGACACTCAGAGCCAGCTGCTCGTCCTCCAGGGCAGGAAGCCCAGTGTGGGCAGCGTGGGCAGTGTGGGCAGTGTGGCAGCGTGGGCAGTGTGGCAGTGTGGTTAGCAGGGGCAGTGTGGCAGTGTGGTCAGC